ATCACATGTCTGTCTTAAATTCAGTTACTCTGCTGAGAATGCAAAACGGCTGGATGAGTGAGCAGTGAGGTAACATATCCAAAGGAAGGCATTGAATTAAATTATTAAACACACACAAGCAGGAGTAGTAATCTAAGAATTTTGAAAGATTCACAAGGAAAGGAAGGAGAGCCAGGGGACTGTTTCTGGTGTTATGATGCTAGAATACTCCCAGCAGCTATTACGACTATTTATTAACCCGCAACATCGTAAACTGTAACCCTATTAAATATGATGAATGAGTCCTGGGTCTCAATTTTTAATCATCAATTTGCAGATATTTTAGAAGGCCAAACGGACACTGAAGATACAGTCTTTGGGCCAATGGCATAATACTCCTATGATTAGATGTGATTAAATCAATTGGATGTAGGATGATAATGTTTAAAAGAAATTTAAAATAAATATATTTAATTATTTAAATTCTGCTTCATATCTGAAATGTATTTACATTGTTATCATATTGCCTGGCATCGGCATCACTGTTGGAGGCCCAGTGTCAAACAGAGTCCCTGTTAACATACTGCAAGCATGTTATGGTATGGATGTTAAAAGTCTCCCAAAGGCTTGGTTGCCAGTCTGCGGAGCTATTGGAACGTGCTGGAACGTGCTGGAACCTCAAGAAAGTAGGGCCTAGTAGGAGGAATCAAGGTCATTGGGGAGGGGGATGCACTTGAAGGGGTTATTGGGACTCTAAACCCTTCTCTTCCTCTCTTTCACGTCCCCACCATGAGGTGAGCAGCTTTGTTCCACCATGCACTGCCTACCATGAAGTGCTGCCTCAACCCCAGAGCCAGAAACTTATGGAACCAACCAACCATGGACTGAAACTTCTGAAACTGTAAGCCAAACTTCTTTTAAGTTGCTTATGTTAGGTATTTGGTCTGACTGACACAGAATCTTTACCCTAAGCAAGGTGCCACTACTTCATGATGTGACTTTTGCTGCTCCCTTTAACACCTACTTCCCCACAAGTTTAGAAGAAGGTAGCCTTTGGACAGATGAATTTTAAAAAGTCCCTCCCTCACACAGCAAGGCCCCTGGTGAGAATGGGGAAACAGCATCTGTTCTCCAGGCCATAGCCCTCCTCAGCTTGCAAGGTCAAGAGTGACCTTGACTGAGCACCCTTGAGGGGTCCTTGCTCTTTCAAGTGTTCTCAAGCTGTGATGGAAGGCTGATGGTCCCTTTAAAGGATGGAACTTATTTTTTCACCTGCCCGCTATAATTGTTGTACTTCAGCCCTTCTACCTCCAAGCATACCAAAAGAAGAAGAAAAAAGTCATGTCCTTTCTATTTTCTCAGCAAACATACTTGTGTTTGCTCCCCTAGTGAGCAGCGGAGCTCTGCTGCAGGACTGTTGAAGGGCACCATCCTGAAAATTTGGGCAGTGAGTCAGTCCAGCATGATAGGCCTGGCCCTTCTTCCCTTGACTCTTCTCCTTCCCTAGGGCCAGACTGCCCCCACCATCCCTTCAGTCCCTCACAATCACCACTTAACACAATGCTCCATTTATCACTTGGCTTTTATCACAGGCAAATAAAAGGGAGAGCATCACTTTCTACTTCTCAATAGCATGCTAATTTGTTACGCTGTGTCTTCAGTTTAGGTTTAGCCTTGTGTTTGCAGAACAAACTGGTGAGAAACTCTGTATGAGAATCTTAGCTTTTATGATCTCTGCCCTCCTCTCTCCAAGGATAAGATTTTGATTTAAGAATGAAAGAAAGCAAAAAAGGTAAGAGAGAGGCTTTATCTGGAGATCAAGTGATAAATGGAGAAAAAAAGCCACTTGGAGCCATCCCAGTCTGGTGAGTATCTCTTTAAAACAAGCAGCTAAAAATGCTTTCAACCCAGTAATACCATAAATGTCCTGCTGCTGTCTTGGCTTTCAGATTCTTCCCCGTACTTTCCATGAGCATTCCACTGGGAATTGTCTGGAATCCCAGATTAAAACAGCAATAACCCAATTCCCCTGTTAGAATATTTATTTTCACTAAGGTTTGGAAACTCAGCTGGGATGCATCTTCAAGTGTGTGGCCCCAGTCTTAACCTTCTATTTGCCTTTCAAACAGCATGACAAGCAGTCAAGTCCTGAACAGGACGAAGGAAGCTGGGCCTTGCTCGGAAAGCCCCAGCTGAGGGCAAACAGCAAGAGCCTGGGAACCTCTACTTTCAGAGGATTTGTTCCAGATGTTGGGGCCATGGTATCACAAAGGGACTCATGCGGATTACCAAGGAGAGATATGTAAAGTTAGACTGCCAGAGTATACATTCAGGCAAAGCCATTATCCTAACCTGAATCCACAAACTACTGATTATGCACCAAAGTCAGCAGTAATGTGCTACAGCTGGATGATTGTCTATGTGAGGATCCAGGCACATGTCCATCCAAGGGTAATATGCAAACTACTCAGCAACAGACAGAACAAGTTAGAATGGATTCCAGCCATAAACCAATGTTGTGGCCACATCAGTCATAAGTCTAGCCAAGTATCATCCCTGAATTCATCCACCCATCTTCAAAAATATTTATTAAACACATACTTATATGGTGGCATAATGGAATCAGGCATAATTGAGTTTGAATCTTTATCTCTTATGAGTTTTGCAATCAACCTTAAAAAATTACTTAAATTCTCTAAGTCCTTATGTGTGATATGGAGATAAAAGAAGACCCACCTTACATTGCGTGAATGAAATAAAATAATTTATATATACAGAATTTCACAGCGCCAGGAACAGGATAATCCCACAGTTATTAGCTATTATGATTGTATCCTAGGCATATACTGGGAGCAAGTAATTACTGGTAAGCGGCACAGAAGTGGTTCAATGAAAGAACTGACACTAGAAGAAATTAAAGTGTTGGTATTGAAGAAATGGTTCCAAGGAGAAGGAAAGCTTGTATGAGAACTGCGTATTTTAAATATGGTAAGGATCTTAAATATTTTCTATTCCAAATGTGGTCCCACATGATTGGGAAACTGAGTTAAACGACTGACTGCAGTCAAACAGCAGAACCCTATGAATTAAGACCTCTTGACTGCTGGTTTGGCTTGTCTATTTGCTTGCCTGCTTCTTTGTTTTACCATGATAACTTTTTAGGGAGAGAGTTCCACAGCAAAAGAGCTTACATATGTCAAAGGCATTCAGAGGTGAACCATGAGTTAGGGCCTCCTTGGGGGATGTTGCAAAATATAAGAATAAAAAGTTATGAAAGAAACCTCAGCTTGTTTGGGACAATTGTTCATTATCTCATTTCTCTCTGCACTAGAATTTAAGCTCCATAAGAACAGGGAGCTTTGTCTTCTGTCTTTGTTTCTGTATCCTGATCCTAGAAGCAGATAATCAGTAATTACAAATGGAATGAACAAATGAATGAGATTAGGTGGTAGAAGTGTTCTGCCTACATGGCATGAGTATGTTCTACCCTGAAGTGAATATTCCTGAGGTAAATATACTGGGCATAGGGGCTTATCTGGAGAGAAATCTGCTATTGTCTGCCCACCATTTCTTTCCCAGTTCTGTCTGCTGCAACGGTGCCCTAAAACTCCAGTCTACTAGGACAACAGTGCCCACAGTCATGACCATGGCCTTTAAAGTTCCAACCTCCTTTTTAAAAGTTCATTGTAGAGGAAAAGATGGTAGAATGGGGCTGTGTCCTTTACCTCTCTATCCAGGAATGTCTACACTACAGTAGGCAGCAACTTTGTAATTACCAACAGACACAGCAAACTGAAGAGGGGAAGGAGTTTCATGTTGCCAGTTCCTTGCAAAAATCCCAGCAACCATCCTCACTGTAGGCAGAAGGGATAAACCAGCAATGTCTCCCAGGACCCCTAGCATCAGTCATCTGATTCTCTGATTTATCAGAGAGAGAGAAAAGGAGAGCCTGGGTCCCCTGTTTCCTGTTTTATTTTTCTGTACTTTTAGTAAGCAACCTTCTGAGGAAGGATGGAAACAAAAGGAGAATAGCCTGAAAGAGATGGCCAGCATGACCGTACCACCATTTATGTCACTGGGAATCAACTAGGGAAGGGTCAAGTTGTCCCCAGGAACCTCCAGAACCTGGACTTGTGCTCTCAGGATATCATCCAAGCCGGAGAATGTGGCATTTTCTTGGATACCACGATCAGGGTGGGAATCACGTGATTCATTTTCTCCAGTTGCCCCAATCACATTTTATCACCTGGACTGAGTGGCAGTACAGGAAAGACAGATCAAAAACAGAACTGGCAGATGTCAATGCTCTGGAGGTTGGCATCAGCAGCACAGGTGTATTGGACCCGATGTCTGCCAAGGTTGCAGCTGAAAATTCAGATGGAAGGTGGTGGAGGCAAGGAGTAGGGATGATTTGGGAGAGGATGGTGGAACTACTACAAACTAAAGTTGCTGAGGCAAAGCAAACCCAAGCAGAGAGTAGAAGAAAAGAGGGGACCAGGGAAAAGACATATATCAGCATATAAAATGTAACCCGCCATGAGAAAAGAAGGGAGGGGGAGTCTACAAAGAAGAGAGAGCACCAGCTTAAAAGCAAAGCAGGGAGTGAAGTGAGTGAATCAGAAACTAAGCCTCATTCAGATCAAAGAAAACTTTAAAGGGGAGTAGGTGAATCTAGGAATACAGATAAACATGGCATAACAATAATAATCTGCCTCCTAGGACACTGAATTGACTCTGCCATGTAGTACACATTTCCAGATTTTTTTTTTTTTTGACATATCATCAGACATGAAATAAATACACTGAGAAATAAGCGACAAGAATCTCAAACTTTAAGCGGCCATTATGGGGTGGGGTCAAATGATTCCAAAGCAACCAAAGCGAACAAGGCAGAGTCCTGTGAAAACGACCCCAGAGTTTGCCCCTCCATGGCTCGGAGCCCTCTGCCTCCCCCGCCCCGTGCGGTCCAGCAGCCTGGCTGTCAGTCTGTCCTTCCCCTTCCCTTGGCAGCCGACACTCACGCAGGTGCGCTGGCAGGCGGATCGAGTCTTCCTCCATCCTAAGCGCTCGAGGCACTGGAACATGAAGTGGAGTCGAGGAAGCGTAACTCGGCACCGGGCTCTCTGGAGGTGTATATGAAATTCGTTCCTGCTGTTAAAAATAAGGGCAGGAAGAGGCGAGGGGGTTAAAAAGGCAGTGAAAGTTTGGAATGGAGGTGTGAAACTACCCAGGGGTGTGGGAAGCAAAAGGGAGGTGGGGCATTCGGAACACCTGGTTCATAAGTTGTCCTTTAGATGCTTCACATTTGAGGTTTATAAAAAAATGCAGGAAAGGTTGAATATTGATTGGGCTCTTTGGACTGAGGTCAACAGATGTGCACCCCTGTGGTTTGTTCAGGTAATGAGGGGGGACACAGGTGAGCAAATGGGGAGAAAAAAGTCCAAGAGAATAGCTTAAAAGCAACTCTCTCAAAAATTATTTTTCCAAGTCACATATCAATGTCACCAATGCATTAACACCACATTTCCTCTTCTCTGGCGATAACTCCAGCTTCTAATCAAAGTATGATTCTATACTCAGATCCAGTAAGAGTATATTAAATAGGCGAAGTGGAAGGTAATGGCTAAAAAGACCTAGGTTTTGTTAATAAATCTATGAGCAAAGTTTTTCTATCATCTTTCTCTCACAAAACAATAACCATAACCAAAAATATCCAACATTTAATTTCTTCCTTCCTAAGAGAGAATGATCTGCAGAATTAGTAGGTGTCTCTTTGTTCCTTCATTTCCCATCAGAATCTGTATTTCCTTTCCCTCTAAAATATTTCATACATCTTCAAAGAATTATTTGGACTAAGGAAAGCATTATTTAAATGAAGATGCTTAATGACAGTAGGAGGGGCTTCAGTAGTTTCACCATTTGAATTCAAATGAGCAGTGTTTGCTAGATCAATTAAAAGAAACTGGATGGGTGTGAAGGATTATTTTATTATTAGTTTGAAGTTAAAATATTGCAAATAATGGCAAGAAACCAACTAGTATATTCAGATAGAACAGTAGTGCAATTTGCATCTCAGATCTACACACCAACTAGTTTGACTTGCAGTCACATACATAAACATAACTTCCGTTAGCTTCTGCGGTTTAACTGGGCAAAGTAGGACATACAAAGTCCAAAAATAAGTTGGGATGAAAAGACCAGTAAGATGCCATTATGAAAATTTTAAAAACCAGGAGCAAAAGAAAATCCTAGATTAAAGTAAAGTGAAGACGGTATTTACTTCTTGGAAGGATAGTTCTTTCAACATTTTACATCTCTTCAAATGTGCAAAGGGAAGCAGGGGAGTCCCCTGACCCTACAACCAAATTAAAACTTCTCTTCTGCTCATGGCCTGGAAAGTTTGGTGGTTGTGGCAGGAAATTTCAATTTTAAATGAATATATACATATTGTTGCAATTTCCAGATGGAATTGCTACACCTTCCCTAAGGCATCCACTAGCAGAAACTAGGGTGGGTGGAATATTTCTGTTTAAACATACATCTTAAAGTTTCCTGGTGAATTTGTTAATTCAGGGCAGGCCCAAATATCCTAGATTTGATTTTTATGTCAATCAAGATGTCTTATGAAAGGTCACCCAGAGGCAAAACTGTCAACTTCACTTTTCTCGAACTTTATCAAATATCACACATAGTTTGAGCAACTCTAACTTAAGGAGGAGTTACACTTTTTGGTGTTTGTGTTAGGATAGTTTAAGAGGCAAAGATATATAATCACATGTATGGAAACATTAAATTTATTTAGGGGTTTTGCTAGGTGAGATGTGCTTTTAAGCATTTCAAACATAATCTGTTTTTCTAGATTAATTTTTTTTCTAAATTCTCCATTCTCCTCCACCCTCACATGATCCCCCAATCTCATCATACATGTAGATGTTTGCTGTTAGCTTTATTCCCAGAAGTAGCTTTCTGTTTGTTATGGTTTTTGCAGAAGCGAAACAGTTGGTGAAGAAAACACTGTGCAACCAAAGGGTCTCCAAAGGGCATGGCATGAGTACAAGAAATAGAGAGGATGCTATTTCATAATACAATTATTTTTCCCTTAAAGCAAGGAGAAACAAGGTCCTCTAGCTTGTCTATGAAAACCAGGCCAGCTCATCCCTGCCTCCTCAACTCCATCAAGGACAAGCTGGAGAAGCCCAGTCCTCAAAATTACTTCTACTTTATTTCTTGGGAAATCTGCCTCCCGCCTACTGATAGGAATCCAGGGAGGCTTCACCTCTGCAGTGTGTTAGGTGCTGGCTTGCGACATTATATTTGTGCCTTCATTTCCCTGAAGTTTCTTAGGAAGAGTTTTTACTTCTACATGGTTCCCTCACCTCACAGCTACACTGACATAGCACACTTGGGCACCTGCCTGGATGTTATGTCATCCTTTCCCATACCCATCCAAGAAATTGTAAGAGACAACTGAACTATTTCATAATGAAACCTACAGAAGGCAGGCCAGAGACTGAACAACTGTGACCCTGAACTCCACTCATTCCTGAGGATAGCTTCCACTATGGTGAAAGTCAGGATTGCAACCTGCAAGCTGAGAGCAGGAAGCTCTTTTTAAAAGGTTTAAGGAAGAGATCTGTCAGTCACTGAAGAGAGTTTATCTTGACCATGTGGAGGAAAGCAAAATACGCTTCTAGAACCTCAAGCAATCTGCCAGCAGCCAACACAACCTACTGGAACCCTGGGTTCAGCAGACAAAAGAGCCCCAGGGGACCCCAGGAAGGATGTTGCCCAGTGCACAAACTTTTTTCTGAGAAGAGAACACACAGCTGGGAATCCCATACTGCAGAGTTAACTCCTTTTGTCTCTCTTTGCAACTCTCTAGTGGTCCTCATTTTTTATTTGATTACTATAACCATGTACTTATCTTCTACAATGGCACATCAGCACACTACCAGCAATTAGAAAAATCATACAAATACCACCTGCTCAGATGGAGACAGCTAGACAGAGGAACTCAGGGAGACTAACAGCCAATGTCCCAAAGAAAGGGAACTCTATTCTCACAACTGCTTCTCTGGTCTGATCCCAACAAAAGAGGGGGCTAGGTAGAGTTGACAGCACACTCACCTCTAAAGCAAACTGTCAGTCAGATGAAAACCAGAGGTGCTTTATTTTAACATGGGGTGGGGGAGAAGGGAGTAAGGATTTTCCCAGGAGGATTATAAACACAGCTCTAATTAAATTAAAATGCTGCAGACAGTGATATTAATGCATTCGAGTGTTGTAGGGGCATAAACTGCAGGTGTAGGCCAATGATGTGACTAAAGATGCAGTCATGTGGTTATGTTATTGTTTAGATGCTGAAAAACGTAAGTAAAACAGGCTGCTCTCAAATTTGTAAACCCAATCTAAACCAACTGGCTGAACAGAAGCAAACGCACTGCAATTTCTGAGGGTAATCGCAATACCTATAGGGACAGTGGCAAGGAGAGGTAGAGAATAGCTCAAAGCTCAGAAAAGAAAAAATAATTTTAAGCAAAGGGTATAGAATGGTACCAAGTTCAAATGGTACCAAATTCAAAATGACTTACATTTCTCTCCTCCTTCCTTCTCCAAACCATGAAGGCCAGTGATAGGTACCCATCTAATTATGCTTCTTTTCATATTAAATACCTAGCAACCTGTGAACCTGTGACTCCCATGTAAACCACCATGTTTACCACCCCTTCTTTTCTGGGGGGTACCTGGGATTGCACTCAGAGGCACTCTCCCACTGAACCACATCCCCAGCCCTATTTTGTATTTTATTTAGAGACAGGTTCTCACTAAGTTGCTTAGCACCTCACTTTTGCTCAGGCCGGCTTTGAACTCATGATCCTCCTGCCTCAGCCTCCAGAGCTGCTGGGATGACAGGCATGTGCCACCACACCTGGCAAGGCTTACCACTTTTGTGCTCAGCAGGGGAATGGCATCCCCACCACAGACTGCACATTATGGAAGAGCCAAACAGAAAAAATATTATCACCAAAATAGTCTTTCCTTTTCAAAATTATTCAGTATAGAACTTCTACATATCTTAAGGATCCCCCTAGGACATTTATGTACTTGTTCCTGTACAATTGACCCTTTAGGTTGAAGGATTGGGAAACTTGGGAGTTTATTGTTAATTAAATACTAATTCTCTGGAAATAAAGTATTTTGGCAATTGAGACAAACAGAAATAAAGTTGGTGTACTTCCACTAAGATGTTTTGCAGGTCATTGCAAAGATTCCTAAACTGAAGAGCCGAGATGTCCTGATTTAGGAAACATTTCTAGAAATTGCCCCATCCCCATTATAAATGCCCAGATTATTCCCCCATGCTGGTTTCTGAAGCCTGTGTAGGCAGTCCTGAGGAGGAAGAGTGTCACAGAGGTATGATAAGAATGCCACAGGAGCCCTGCCATGCAGATGCACTTTGGTGTCCCATCACTGCAATGACAAGCTGCAACCCAGACAAGATGGGAAACAGCAGGCAGCAAAGAGAGTGCTTGCACTGGCCACGTTCTACCCGTTCTACCCGGGAGGGGAGGCTGACTTTCTCACCCTGAAGGTTTTCAGGAAAGCTGCTTGCAAAGCTGAGGCTTGTACTCTCATCAGCCTGTATAGACTGAACAGAAGAAATCTCTCCTCTGGGAGGCTATTTATTGAGATTTACTAAATTAATGTCTGGACACACAGTTTCTCAAGTACACTCTTCTGGCTGGAGAATGATCCAAGGTGGTGGTGCTGGCTTTCATTAAACAGGTTTTCATTAAGTGAGCCTTTATTAACAAGCTATATCTACTCATTACCAAAACACTGAATAAGCAGAAATTTGCCTGCACCGTATTCTAGGTTTTTGGCATCATGGATGCAAACAGACATGAGAACCTAAACTAATGTGCTCCTGAGAGTCCATGTCTTTCACTGGAAAAAGAAATTCATTGAATATTTTGTCCACCCCAAAATTCAGTGAAAGAAAGAACTTGAGAAAAGATGCAAATGTGGCCACAGATAACCAATTTTTGGATTCTCCCCAGAAAGGAACAGTATACCCTAAGATCTGGGGTGAGGAAAAATACTCCAGGTATTCAAACAAAAGTTCTGAAGTAGAAGACCAGATTCAGAAG